CATCCCACTATTTGTTCAGACAAGAGTAGCTCCAGAGGTAGCAGTGGATGATGATAAATATTTGTCTTCCATCTAGCCAGTTCAAAGGAGAGATGGTTAAGCGCAGATAGCTTATGTAGCATTTCGCGAAAATTCTGAACTATAACTATTCAAAATTCTCTCCCTTCGGGCCGCCTCCCAGTAGCTCAGCGGTAAGTCTGGACGATAAAAATCAGGTAGCGATACCTGTAGGGGAGGCAGAGTACACTTAGTCCATTGTGTAGCTTTGCGCTTACATACAGTCAAACTAACCTAAAACTCTTCTTTAAGCTTAACTAGCTTATTTTCACGTGCTTTCTCTCCATAATACATTTTCTGCATAGAGAAGATAAGGAAAATAATTTGAGTTATAATGGCCATGGTAAGATGCAATACCACAATACCGACTACTGTAAATGTGAGTAATATAGGCTTTTGTCACTTGTGGCCCTAATTGTGTTCCAGAAAAGTCTTTATTATCTGCTCGCTTGTTCCTTCTATGTTTCTTTTATTATTATTTTTGCGAAGGACTTATATTCTCTTGTTATTCATATGAAACAAAGTTAAAACTTTCTGATGCACACATAAAGCGTTACTTAATTGTAATCATTGTAATCTTATATATATTGCGAACAGTTGTGTCTGTCCGAGCGTTCATCTGTCTCCCGTTTGAAAAGCTGGGGACGCAGGCAAAGCTCGACATTCCCTTTTGAAATGACGGGAGAACAGGCATGAATGATGTTGATGCCAAATTTTATTTAGCAAACAGATTATTCTACACTAATTAATCACACTGATAATCACATTTCAAAATGTGACGTAACTTAACAAATAATAAAAAATATAGATTTACCGTATGTTATTGTTGAACGGCTCTCAGCATAACTGAAATACTCAAGAATTACTTTTCGCAGTTGGCAGTATAAGTACCTCAGAACTTTCACTCTGAGGGAAATCAAGAATGCAACACAATTAATCTTTATATAGTCCATGAAATAATTTAAATTGGGAGATTAACTTACAGTTTTTCCCATCACTGAGGACGGGTACTTTTACTTGTTATCAATATAATTTAAGAATTGTGTCTTCAACATTTTTCACCTTGATGTTTATTTATTTGTAATTAAACATAAACCTACACAATGGGCTATCTGTGCTCTGCCCACCACGGGTATCAAAACCCGGATTCTAGCGTTGTAAGTCCCCAGACATACCACTGGGGGTTTTTCACCTTGAAGACGTATTAAAGCCTAGAAAACAAAAGAAGAAACGATCCAAGAGGCCAGAACGCTTTTGAAGGGTGATATTTAATATGCAAAGTATGTTTATTGCCCAACTATAATTCATAGAACTTAAAATGAAAATACAAATACAATTTTAAAACTTTAAATTCAAGTTCTTACATGTTTTGAATATACAGGATGATATGTTTTTCATCAGAAGAAGAAAAGGAAGAATAATGAAGTGTTAGCTAACATGTCAATGCTTACAATAAATGTTCAAGTAGTTTTAAATACATTATATATATATATATATACTTAGTTGTGTAAGCTATATTTATTCCCTTGTAGGATAGCAATAAGTTATAGACTTACAATGTTAAAATCCAAGGTTCGATTCACAGCGGTGGACACAACAGATTCCCCATTGTGACTCTGCTCTATTGCAAAGAAACAGGTGTAAACTATTGTTTTAATATTTTAGCTTAGATGTTTGGTTAAAAGAGGAAGCGTGTCATGATGTCATTTATAAATTTCATGAAAGTTAAGAATCTAGAAATTACGTATCCTGTGTGAAAATAAGAGCACCATATACGTAACAGATTCGGTAAATTCATCAACAAATAAATTAATGAGCAATCGGTGAGTGAATCAATTCAATGCCAACTAGTGAGTTAGACAGTGAGAATGTTTGCACCTATTTGTTCGTGCTTTAATTAATCAATCACTTAGTCAACTTGTTTGTTATCAATCCATTAGCTAGGAAATTCTGTAAATAAATTCATTTATGATGTAGGTGTAGATTAATGTGGAAGTGTTTTTGTTGTAACGCTGTTTGTGATGTTGAAACTACCAGTGAATATAGCCTGTAGTAAATTTTATTTATCAAATAAATTAACTATCGTTATGTGGTCTGTATTTTACATTATATTTACCAAATAATCCAAACGACCTCGCCTAACAATAGAATACATTACCAAATTATAATGCCAACTTTTAACAAAGCAGGATTAGGACCTGTGTTTCTGCTTATCAACAACCAAGTCAAAGGTCTTGTTTACAGTTTCCTTCAGTGCCAACTTCATTATTTGTGACTGAGCTCGAATTTGCAGGAATCTCAAGAGTGATCAAATAGCTTTCAAAATACATAAAACTAATATTCGAGGAGTGTCGCACAGTTACGCTTTAGTTGATTGAGGAAATATTAAGGATGGTAAACTGTATGTTGCATTTTTTTCAAGACAAGTGAAAACAAGATTCATTTGTTTGTTGCTAAGTACAAAGCCAAACAATAAGCTATCTGTGTTTAGTCCACCGCTGCTTCTAAAACCATATGTTTAGCGTTATAAGCTCTCAGACTGAGCTGCTGGAGGAGTGAAGTTGTGGAGTGAAAGTACGACCAGACAGAATTCACAACCGCATTATTAGTTATTGTGCTCGATTGAGATCTTTAGAGAGTATTTTTTCTGTTCGTATGTTTTTTTTCTGCAAATGTGAAATCAAAAAGACTGGATTAAAAACCGCATCTTTGTTTGTTGTTCAAGTGTTGCAACAAAATTTATTCTAGATGTAATAAGTAATTAGAAAGTTCTTCTTTACAATACGGATTTTTTTTTCAGGGCACAAAGATTTGGAAAAGCACCCTAAACATGATAAAGAACAGGCTTAGTTTGAGAGAAAAGATACGGACTGAATTTGATAAGATAGAAACATACTGAGCGAAAGAACAAATACAGACCTAGTCTGGAAGAACGATACAGCCCTAGTTTGAAAGAATAGATACAGACCTAGCTAGAAAGAACTGATTTTGACCGACCTTGAGAAAATAGATACATACTGAGTGAGAGAGTAAAGACAGACTGAGTTTGAGAGCTTGAAAGAAATGATTTAGATATACCTTGAGAGAATAGATACATAATCAGTGAGAGAATAGATACATACTGAGTGAGAGAGTAAAGACAGACTGAGTTTGAGAGCTTGAAAGAACTGATTTAGATCTACCTTGAGAGAATAGATACATAATCAGTGAGAGAATAGATACATACTGAGTGAGAGAGTAAAGACAGACTGAGTTTGAGAGAACAAATAGAGACTGTGTTTTGGAGAATAGATATTTTTAAGTTATTTGTATTTTAACATAAGATTTAGTAAAACTTCTTACTCCAAAAATTGACAGGATATTACTCCCAAATTCCTGTTTTCGTAGCGAAACCAATAAAGATATTAGTGTAGAAAAACTGGATTTCATTTTTTATAATATCCCATCACAGTACTATTTGATTACCAAAATTCAGTGTAAAAAGGCACAACAGAATATTTGAAGAGACTTAATAATTTCTGTGTTTTTAGAGCTATTTTATTACTTGAAGGTGAGATGCGTCTGCTAAACTTGATATTTCATGTTCTTGAAAGACTATCCAACATCTCTTCCTAAAATTTTTCTGGTGTTTGTATAGCACTTTACCTCATTACTTCTTGTTTATACATTGCTGATCTTGTAATTCAAGTGGTTGCCATAGAAACATAATAAACGTAGGCATTTCTTAAGAGCAAAATGTTGATAGAATTTTAAAATCCAATCAGGAAAAGAAATTTGTGTCTACATTTTATCAGTCTTGACGTAATTAGGTTGTTGAAACACATAGAAGGTTGCTAAGATATTGAATATGTTGTTTAACAAATATATAGAAGTACAAAGGTTATAGGTTGACTATGTTTTTGTTGGTTCATAAGAATTTAAGTTTAAGTTTTCCTACAATTTAAATTTATATTTCAGTTTTCATATTACATTTTGAACAATTTATATTTCTGCTCTCAAACTGAAATTTCAACCGTCTTATCGATCTTACACTACATTTTATACATTCCTTTTCAACTTTTTTTGTACTACGTTTTAAACAGTTTAAATTTCTATTGTGTATTACACGTTGAACCATTTAATTTCTGCTTTCAATATGCGATTTAAACAATTTGGGTTTCAGCTTTTATACACGTTTAAATAACTTAGGTTTTTAGCCATTCTAAGAAAATATAAAACCTAGATATCAGGTTTAACATTTTAGTTTTATGTTGACATTAAATTTCAAACAATTTAAATTTGAGTTACCAAATCATTAGTGTAACTATTGATACACTTAAGCAATTTAAACTTTAGTTACCAAATCACTAGTGTAACTACTGATACACTGAAACAAGTTAAGTTTTAGAGATCATATGTTTTGAACAATATATATGTTTAATTTTATATTAGGTGGAATTAGTATATACTTCTGTTATTAGCGTATCAATTCATATCATTCTAATACCCTTCTTATACTGATCGTTTTGAAATAATATATTATTCCATATCTTTGTCTTAAAATTCTACTGTGTCCTAATTCAATTTGTAGCTTTCGGGAAATAAAGGCGGGGAATAAAATAAGAAACCTTAATTTTGCTGAGAACTAAATGTGACGAAAAATAGTAGATATATTTTGATACTCGTTTTCTTGAGATAACTTCCTGTTAAACACTATTTGACCATCTGAAAATGAGCAATAATGAAGTTATGCATTCATAAATTATGTAAAATATTTTATACAAATACTTTATAAGTAAAGTAAACGATTCAGTATTTTCTTATCAATCACTTGCACTTGAATTTAATGAATTTAATATATATACAAACACATACATATATTATGTTTGCTTTCACTAAGTACTTCTTAAAAATAAGATTCATCAAAACTGGGTAACCATATTTTCTTAGTGTCTGTTTCTGTGGTTACCGCTTAAAAATTAGTGAAACCATTATAAATGGATGACAAATAATAGCAGTAAAACTTATTATTTTTATTCAAATATAGTACTAACTTTAGTTTACTGAAGGTAGATATTCGATTAAACACTAATGATACAAAGTAGTTTAAACCATTTAATGGCGTAAAAGACGCAATTAATGAATGAATTTAACAACAATTAATATCTTCTTACACTAATGAGTTGGTTCTCGAGGTAACAGAGCTCCAGATCAAACCGAATTACAGTAATACTAGCAACAAAGTAAAGACATATAGAATAAGTAAATACCGATACACAATTTCCCCAGATTTACTTTTATATAACGTAGCCTTACTTGCCTACAGTGCTAAACATCAGAACGGTATGTTATTGTAATAAAAAAAAAACAGGATTATATCAGTGTCTCTAAAATCTGAAATTTCACAGCATCTGAGTCTACTAAAATAGAAGAATTTCAAAACTACGTTTATCAAATTAATCTCGATTCTAATATCAATTGGTGATGACTGAATACTAATCATGTTGTTTTATTATTAAATTTATGTAATCTAAAAATAAATTGTACAGCGAAATGTTAGGAAAGTACGTGCATTTAAAAAATAAATCAAAGACAAAAATATGTAACACTATAACCCAAGAGTTTCGTATTTTTCTGTAGTGAAAGCTATTTACTTTCTTCTACGTTCCAGTAGTAAACACAAACATGTTTTATTTTGTCAATGCAGGATTATATATATATTGTTGAAAGGAGAAACGTTAAAGTCATTACATTGTAAAGGTACGATCCTGTCTGCTGTCTCTCTCTGAACTAAATCGTGGTCGTCGCCACCAGTTGTTTAATGTAAAATTTCCTGCACTGTTCCGTCTCGGATTTTGTGACTTCGAGGTAAGTGCTGCTAATGCCGATAGAGGACGCTTTTCTCCTTTTGACTGAATAACCTAGTAAGTGTTGAATAAATAACTTGAGGAAAAAAATGGGTCATTTTTAATTTTATCTTATTAATAATAGTAACAGTCAACATTTTACTGCAATTGAGGATTCTTATAAAACAAACAAGTCACATATATTGATAATATGAACGTATAACATAAAAAGCTTTTAAATAATTACTACTGACCTACACAAGCACAATTTAAAGATTTTTGAATTAGGAAATCGTCTGTGTCAAATTATAGTAAACATTTTAAGCTTAAATGTACATTCGAAGGATTTTGTATTATTCTGGTGATTCGTATGTTGAATTGCTTACACAGTTATCATAAAGCTAGACCAACAATGTGTTGAAAAGGTAAAACTAAGACATTAGAATTCTATTCCAGTTAACAATGTGCTGAGAAGGAAAACTAACAATATTATAATTATGTTCCAGTTTCATTTTGGAACTTATAACTAGAAAGAAGTTTTAAAAAGGAGAAAAGTACAGATAATCAAGTTTTAACAACAGAAAAGTATAATTAAAGTTCGTTAGAATCTGAAAAAAATACTTTCATTTTCTCGTTACTCTCGTTTTCAGTAATAATAAGTTTCAACCAGTCACATTTCTTTAAATAACAGTAAATAGGACCTTATTTTTATTTAATTTTATATTTTTTTGTAGAGCAGTCACATTCCTACAACTGTATGCAGACAGTGAAGGGTTTATGTAGATGTGGGAAGTTGTGGGCTTGAGAACCTACATCCTGCTCTTTTAACTTATTCTTATTTTTCTTACTTATTTTATGTTTATTCTTCTTTATGTAACATGTGAATCTAGCGAATGGAGGTTAAGACTGGTAGATTATGCATCGTCACTGCAATGTGGGTCTTACTTCCAAAGTAACCCACAAAACCTAGGGCACATGTTATATCCCACATTATAGTTTATGCTTTGGGGATCTTTTTAATTAATGCAGCATTTCTGTTGTATTTTTTGTGTTAGGTGTTAAGCCTTGCTTGTTTTGATAATTAAAATATGTTTTCATCATAGGTTTGGGCTTGCTGTCGTTAATGCAATCCTTCCATTTGATGTTAATATTTACTTAGGTGTGGAAATAATGTTTTTATGTATATATACACACACACACACGTATATATATATATATATATATATATATTCCAGAAGATGTTTCAGTTTTTAAACAGAAGAGGGCTTGGGAGTTTCATACTTCAAATATTAAAATAATATGTGTCTCATGGCAGACACGATTAAAGTTATACGCTGAAATCAAAGTAAAATATTGGTCCGTTACGAATTTTAGTAGTTAACGGGTCACTTTCACTTAACAGACAGAAGTGTAATGCTTCCATGACACTTGACCACTAGAAATTGTTTGCTGTCAGACAATGCATTGCTAGGAGATGATTTGTATCATATCTTTCTTCCCAAAACACCTTTATTGCAAAATGTTTCTGAATAATTTCGTCCAAAGTCAGCAGTTATCAGGTCACTTGACCAGCACAAGTTGTCTGCTGCCAGATGTTGCTAGATGTCATGTGACATCATAGTTCGAGTGCTATTCAACAGAGAGTGTGTTACAAGAAGCCATAGTTTCACAAAGTGATACCAGAGGGCGCATTGCTAGAGGTGGATGCTGTTACCAAGATTCTATAGGTGTTGCTAGATGTCATGTGACATCATAGTTCGAGTGCTATTCAACAGAGAGTGTGTTACAAGGAGCCATAGTTTCACAAAGTGATACCAGAGGGCGCATTGCTAGAGGTGGATGCTGTTACCAAGATTCCACAGGCGGACAGTGTTACGAAGAACAATGTTTCTATAGATGGGTGGTGTTACTAAAGATAGCGTTTGTATAGGCAGCTGGAGTTTCTATAAACAGATAGTTGAATAAAATTATGAGCTCATCAAAGAGTGTCTTAACATGTGATTACGTTATCAACATTGTAACACTCACTTCTCGATTTAATTATATGTCCTAAGAAGTTAGAAGTAAAACCATTATTTTAATAAGACAACTATTATAGCATAGGGTATTATGTATGTGAGTTTTTATAACACATACTAATTTATCTATCATCTGAACGAGGCATATAATATAACATAGCCAAAAATATATTTTATATACTTTTACAATTATCTGTCCTTGAAGGTTTTATCATGCCTAATGATTTGTTTTTATAAATATTGAATGAGTCAGTTATACTATTATTCTATAGTTGATTGTGCTTTTTTATTATTCATGTTTTGATTTAGTACACATTTAACATCCTGTAGTATACTTTCACTTCTATATCTAATTTGCATAAAATACTTTTTTACAATTATCGTACAAAAAAAGGACGGATTTTCATGATAACATAAAATACATATAAAATACTGAATTAGCTTTTATTCAATTTTGTACATTATATTCATATCATTATTTCAGTTAGAGTTTATATTTTTGTTTGTGTAAAATTATGTGAAACAAACACTGAATTTATAATCAAACATTTTAATACATCATACTAAAGACATATCACTACATAAATAAACAAATAAAGGATATAAGCATGTGAATTGTAGTCAAGCATAATTATTTTCTGACACCAGCAGTATTATTTGTTTACACTGCACTCCAGTGTTTTATAATCCAAACATGTTTCCATTTCTTTTATTCCTAAACATCAAAGGATATCAATCAGTTAGTGGAACTTGCTCCTCTGATAAATTTTAAGAACACAACCCAAATTCAAGGATGGAATATACTGATATCTCTTTATGTGTCTAAACTTTTACATCCTGAAGAAGTTAGACTATGTATATATATCTTGATAGTTATATTTGTAAACAATAGTGATTTTAAATTACAAAAAAAGAGATTTCTAAATCAAAAACAGAAAATAACTTCCTAAAGTACCCTCATATCTTGAGAATATCATGAATGTATATTTACCTTTCTGTATATCATGTAAAGTGAAAGAATAGATAAATTCCTTTTTTACTGAATATCAAGTTCAACAACATATAAAATACATACTTCATTGTTAGACTTATATTCATCTTATTTTGGTTGTAATGTGTTTTCTTCTAGACCATAGCTTTTACCATAAGAAGCAACAAAATTGAAATATTTTGTCAATAACTTTTTCTTTTTATCACAGTCACTTGATAGCTTTGTTCTTAAAATCTCCAAAAATAAAATGTATGCACATTATTTGTGTAATATCTCAGATAAAGTTGTCTTTTTCTAGCTTAAAGCTTTGTTAATAAATGTTTCAGTATGTGTGTTACTTGACAAGTCTGTGGTTTTACTTACATATATTGATGATAACATATTATTTTAAAGCAGTAGAGGAGAGGTACTGTGAAGGTCAAAAGATCTAACGTCCAGCACAATGAGAGATAGTCAAACAAGTTATGGATTTGAAGAGCATCATATGTTTTGTTGAATTTCTAAATAAATATATATACTGCAGGAATTATTATATGTACATCACCCATTATAATGGAAACTTGTATTAGTTGCTCAAACATACTTGTTAGAAACCGATATTGATGGGGTGTAATTTATCATAAAAGACTAATCTAGACGTGCAATTATCTGACATTTGAACACTGATTTATAGCTGGTGATATGTATAGTTTTTAAGTTAAAATATAATACATGTTACCGAAGCATAGTTTCAAAATCTATGTGAGGAAGTTATCTGTTTTGAAATAGTATATAAACTAGTTTTTTAACCCTACAAAATGAAATGTTACATGCATGGAACATGCAGTAGTAACAAATAATACTACTGGTGTCACAAAATAATTATGTTTGACTATAATGCACATGTTTGAGTCCTTTATTCATTTATCTGTGTAGTGACAAGTCTTTAGTACGATGTATTAAATTGTCTCGTGAAAAAATCAATGTTTGTTTTTACATAATGTAACACCAATGAAAATTATAAACATTAACTGAAATAGTAATATGAACACAACGTAGAAAAGTTGTATGAAAGCTAATCCAGCATTATATAAAATAAGATGTTTATAGTATATTATTGTATCTTTAAGTTTTGTTAATAAATGTTTCAGTATGCTTGTCAAGTCTGTTATTATACACTGTCACTTTAAAGTACATTTTATAAGGATAAACAATAAATATGTTGGATTTATAAAGTGTGAAAGAACAATCACTTGTTTTATAATTAATGATATTTTTAATATTGTGTTAAAACTAATATATCAAACATGCTATGATAGTTGTTTTGTTAAAGTAATGGTTTCACTTGTAACTTTTGAGAACAAATAATTCAACTTGGAACTGAAAGCTACAATGTTCATGAAATAATCCTATGTTTAGATACTATATAATGAGCTTATCATCCTATTGAACTATCTGTTTATAAAAACACCATTTGTCTGTCCTTAGTAATACAATCCATCTATAGATAGAATGATTGCCCTTAGTAACACTGTCTACCTATAGAACCTTAGTAACACTATCCATCTATAGAACCTTAGTAACACCATCCACCTATAGAATCTTAGTAACACCCACCCAGTAACACCATCCACCTTTGTAAAACACATGTTACACAGTTAAATATATAAAAGAAAACTATAAAAATACACTGAGCCAAGTTGAAATTTTATGCAAACCTATGGAAGTATAGTAACACCGTCCACCTATAGAACCTTGGTATCAGCACCTGCCCTAGCAATACGCCCTCTGTGACACTTCATGTAACTATGATTCCTAGCAATATAGTCACTGTTGAGTAATGTTCGAACTATGATGTCACATGACATTAGCAACATCTCGCAGCAGAAAACTTGCGCTGCTCAAGTGACCTGATAAATACTGACTTTGGACGAGACTAGCAATATAGTCACTGTTGAGTAATGTTCGAACTATGATGTCACATGACATTAGCAACATCTCGCAGCAGAAAACTTGCGCTGCTCAAGTGACCTGATAAATACTGACTTTGGACGAGATTATTCAGAAACATTTTGTAATCAAAGCTTTTGGGGAATAAAGATATGAAACATGTTTCAAGAATAAACATCAACGTGGGTTCCTCGTCATCAAATTTAAATTCACCAAGTAGGTAGATTAGTAACGTTGAAATTCTTACAAAATATCGTAATGTCGAGAGTTAAATGTGTTTGAAAGACAGCACTGTAGGTTGTTAGAAATGAAACATCAATAAGTGACATTGTGCTAAGATCTTGAAGGCACTTATATCAGCTGGTGGTGCTTTCAGCTGACGGTACTTGTAACGTTACTGTATTTAATGTGGCTATGTTGGAACAGTCACCAGCTTGGGGATATCTAGAGATTGTTTTCGTTGAATGCAGATTCTTTGAAAGAATTGCGATATATAAACTTGTACATCACCCATTATAATGTGACAATTTATTTGCTATATTTTATGCTTCTAGATCAGAACCTTGATAACTGATCATGAATTTTGTGGTGTTTTATGAAAAGTCTGAAGGTAATTAAGCAACTTAAAACATGATGATTTTAAAACTAGAGAAAACAGTATGGGAAACATTCTAGTTTCTTTAAAGAAAAATTGGGAACTGTGTAACTTTTTAAAAGTTATGTCCTTCAATATACCCCCTATTTTGATGCCCCTAATTTTCATAAAGAAATGACGTCAGGGTAATGGTGTTTTATGGGGCAAAATATTCCACTAATATTAAGAAATCCACTGGTTTTACTAATAAGACACCATATAGTGATCTAAACACTTATCTTGAGAGTTTTGATGTTTCTTCTGTTTTTACACAAGATGAATCCACGAAGTTAATTGATGTCATATTACAGTGTAATGATAAAGATGAAGTTCCGAGAATAATTCAAAAGAATATTCATCTTCATGAAATGTTTTGCATTTGCATCTGATTCATCAGTTTTTAATTCTACTTTAACAACTATATCACAGAGCCAGTCCTCTTGCTCCATCATTAGAAAAAATATTATGTTTCAAATCAAATATATTATTCTTAATACCTCCCTTTTGTTTTGAATGTTGTATATTGATCGCAGATTTGATGGTCATTTAGATTTTAAGAATGCTAAGAACTGATTTAAATTTATTAATAAAACTCACCTGAACGTATTTTTTCAAAAGAACTTCATGCCAACGACAGTACATTCCCTTTCATGAATCTGTTAGCAGAGACTGATGAAGGTTCCACCACAAACCTACCAATTCTAGCTGCTTTATTCCTTTGGATAGAGAAAACTGTAAATCCTACCTATACTAATCACTATATTTTCTGGGATTCAAAACCTACCCCTACTAGCCATGTTGTTCCCTGTGATTGAGAAAACCTACCTATATCACTTGTTCTACTTTTTGGAACTGAGAAAATCTACCCTTATTAGTCACTTAATTCTTGAGTTCCAAAACATCTAACAATACTGGCTACTTTTTTTTCTGCAGGATTCAGAAAACCTAACTATAATTGTTTTTTTCTCTGATTTTCAGAAAACCTACCTATACTAGGCGTTTTATAATCTAGAATTCAGGAAACCTACCCTATTCACACTAGCTGCTATATTTCCTGGGATTCAGAAAACTTGCCCATACTATTTGCGTTATTCTTTGAGATTCAGAAAACCAACCCATACTAGTCACTTTATTACATAGAACTCGGAAAACCTATCAACACTAGCTACTTTATTACCTAGAGTTTAGAACACCTATCCACTCTAGCCACTTTTCTGGGATTTAGAAAATCTACCTATTCATACTAGCCACTTTGTTACCTGGAATTCAGAAAACCTACCCATACTGACCACTTATTACATGGAATTCGAAAATCTACCTATACTAGCAACTTTATTCTCTGGGATTCAGAAAATCTACCCATACTAGCCACTTCATTACCTGGGATTTGAAAAACATATCCATACTAGCCACTTTATTACCTGTGATACGGAAAACATATTCAAACTAGCCACTTTATTCTCTGAGATTCAAAAAACCTATACATACTAGCCGCTTATTACCTGAGATTCAGAAAATCTACACATTGTGAGGAACTTTTTAAGTAGTGATATATAGTAAGTTAATATATGGATGTGTTGGGCTACAGATTCTTCTACAGTAGTTGTCTGTGACTTGTTGGTGATAAATTCAATGATAAATGAACAGCATGCACTCCGTTTGTTTTAAAATAATATATTCAAAACAAGTTAAACGTATGTACAAAAATTATTTACACTATGTACATCATAGTTGTTGTATCTTAAATACCACAGTTCTCTTCTTCTTGTCAAAAGTCTACTTTGGCCAGTTCAATTGCCTTAGAATTCAGTTGGCAAGCTGAACTATTTTTCTCTATTTCTATCTTAAACACTATCTTCTTTTTTAAATTAAAACATTGTTATGTTACTGCAGTTGTATCCTAAACTTCCGATACTCGTCTGCTTTTTTGTATTTAGGCCTACTTACAATAAACGTCTGCTTTTTTTGCATATAGACCTACTTCCAAATAATCGCCTGCTTTTTGTCAAAGTCCACACAGGCAGGTGCAATTGCTTTAGAACACCCTTTGAAGGGACAAATGATTATCCTAAAATGTCAGAAAACTGTTAATCTCCCTTTAACATATCAACCATTAGGCTATTTACTCCTACGATGGTTAACTTTGCTTTTTCTAACCTTTCTCTGACCGAAACTCTCTTTTGCTCGGCTTTACTTTTGGCACTCTTTCTGATCTCTGGTCTCTCGTCCGGTCGCCATTATTTATATCTCTCACTGAGGCATTCTACAAATCTCCGTAGCCTAGATATTCTCTTGTGACAGAGAGCAACTTAGTTATTTGGCGTTTACCTGATGCCCTGTTCTTACAAAGGGTAACTGTATTGTTTGGTTTACCTTACTGCCTATTCTTACAGAGAGTAACTTCCTTGTTTGATGTTTACGTTATGTCCTGTTCTTACAGGGAGTAACTTAACTACCTTTACCTTATGGTTAACCCAGTGAAACATTGCCCATTTCAAGTCTTTGTTTAATTTTAGCTGCATAAATTTAAACTATAAATGGTGATTTGTGTTATGCCAACTGTGAATAGTTTCATAACTGCATGTAAATTGTTTTTAAGTATAACTGCACGTAGATAAATATATGTCATAAATACACGTTTTGAGAGCCTTAAAGAGGTTTGTTTTATTCAGTAAGCTAATGTGAAGCTCCAATGGGATGATATTCATTATTAAAAAGCAAGCACGAGTTATCCCTTATGTCAGTTATTGTTTGGGTTATCTACTGTGGACACAATCCCGGACTTTAGCGTTATAAGTCCGTAAACTTAGAGATGACACACCAGTAGACATGGTAAATGCAAGAATATCAATATTTTTAATATTATACTAGAAGACATAACTTAATCTTTTTTAGCATTTTTAAAATCATATGAAGGGATTAACTTAATCTGTTAAATTCAGGCTTTCCAGTCTTCATAAAACAGTAGAGACTTTAAAGCAGAAAGAAATTGCATCAAATACATTTCATAGTAGAAATTATATTTTAGAGAATGACATGGGGTCGGGTTCTGTGATCAAGCCTATTAAAAATGATCACTAAAAATTTTTCCAATCTTACTATATAACCACATAAGGAACTTTATTTGAGTTGTTGAAGCTTCTTGTCTGCTTTACGTAGCCATTTATTTTTCCTTAAAATCCAGTTTGTACTGTGGCTTCATCGTATGATATATTATGTATTTTCGATTAACGCTATTTACTTTTATCAGACTTCAGAGCTGTTCAAGTTTGCCTGCGGTAACATATTAATTTCTAGAACAATTACTAGTAAATAAAAGTAGTATGCCATATATATCATACATTACATACACAGCTTTCAATGTTGTCATGTATTTTATATTGAGCCCCCCAGTGGCACAGCGGTATGTCTGTGGACTTACAACGCTAGAAACCGGGTTTCGATACCCGTGGTGGGCAGAGCACAGATAGCCCTTGTGTAGCTTTGTGCTTAATTAAAAACAAACAAACAAATATTTTATATTGAAAATAGAAATGTAAATCCAAGTGTTAAAGATACACCTGCTCCCATCTTACCTGTTGAAGAAAGTCTTGGAATGCAGTTTCCACATTATGTGCTTCTCTAGCAGCAGAACACTCTTGGAATGTACATCGTGGATATGTCAAAGAGATACGCTGAGCTTCTTTGGCACTGACAGATCTATGAAATAAGAAAATGACTTTAATAACATATTTAATCAGATATATAGAGATATTTTGAGTTTCTTTGACATTAACTGATTATATTTTTATGAATTATACATGAAATAAAAATAACTCTAAGCCTTTTGCAAACAATTCTGCGTGCATATATTCAAGGCTCTCAAGAAATTTACAGTACAATATCTAAATCAGTTGGAGCAAAGTTTAGCTTGTGCTGTTAGAGCACTACAACTATTTACTTGTAAACTATTAAATAATGCAGAAAATCGTATTCTCTATTATCCATAGTGACGTCACGACAAACAAAGTAGCCACATGTTAATTAGCTCCAATAGTGAGTTCTGTGCAGCAACTAGGCACTTTATTAGAGCTGGAATAGGTCAGCCATATGTCATCCCAAAAATTAAAAACATTTTTCTTCAGTGAGACAATTAAAACTGTAATAACAATGAATTTTCGTAAAGTTTATGAAGAGCCATCTCCACTTCGTTTTAAAAGAACTGGCTAAATATAGATCTAGAAATAGTTGAGTGAACAATTCAACAGATTGTGTGGTACTAATTGTTAAAATTTGTGGTCAGTGTATTATGATAAGGCTTGTATTTTTGCACATGAATCCTAGCTGTAAGGTGTTTGCAGGACATCAAGTTACGTTAAATGAATAAGTCTTGGGATTATCGTACAGTTTTCTTTTCGTTTATTTGACATTCAAGATCCATGCCTAGATTCGAATTCATAACAGTAAATTATTTTATTTGCTCACTCAAAACCTATACCTTAACCATGGTAGAATATATGTGAGACAATTTGTGGGCTAAGTCGAAATGTCTAAAAAACACCATCTAGCCCTCATAAACTTCGTTAAAAAAGTCAGTCATACACTTGTACTAGTCCCTCGTAAAATAGCGGCAATTATCCAGGTCAGGGCACTACATATTATTAGAATAGTGATTGCCAGGACTCCCCTTAACCAAGGGGCTACATCTTATTTGCACAGTTGATTGTAACCCACACCCCGTAGTAACTGGTCAAAAGGATACATCTTATTAGAACAGTGATTGCTACGACTTCCATTAGTCAAGAAAGTATCTATTATTAAGACAATGATTGGTAGCACTCCCATTAGCCAAGAGGTTACACCTTCTTTAAACAGTGATTGCTAGGAACTCCATTCTGTAAGTTAGGATGCTATTCATAAGATGGTGTACTAGACACAACAATAATGCTAAATTTCTTCAAACAAAATCATTTGCAAGAATTATCACTGGCGAATGAAAATAACCCATAAAGGCTTATTTTATGTTTATGATTATGCTAATATTGTTTATGTTCCCTTACACTTAAATCTCAGATCGTAATTTATGAATACGTTTCATTTACTAAATTATTTTTCTCAACTACCATTTAATTTTATTAACTCTTTATTGCCAATTCAGTGTCTATACAACAGGTAGTATACAACAAACGTGAAAGAAAAGAAGACGTGAAAATGATTTCAAATTAACAGTAGTAAAGTATCTTTATTCAGTTTTTTTTAATATTTTATTTATAGGATTGTTCATAGGAAAAGGGGAGGTAAACCATTTTTCCTTTTCACTAACATACAAAACGGTTTATTAATGTTCTTGTAAAATTATAGTTGTTCAAGATATAACATCATTAATTAGTGCAACTTGTAATATAATACTATTTGCAGACATAACATATGTCTTTATAAAAATAACCCTAGTTTTAATGTGCGTGTAAAATAACAATAACTAAATTTAATATCAGTGATTAATACATTTTCGAAATAATAGCCGTTTTATGTGCTTGTAACATAACATCTGTTTCTCCAGCAGTTTTTCTCAATGCACCAAAAGTCTCTTAAACAAGAAGAATAGTAGTTATCCCCCACTTGCGAGATATGTAGCCAGAGGGCGTTATAGGCGTGTCGACCTCAGGCAATAGGAGAGGGGTAGAGATAATGATGTCATCAGAGAAGCTGCTTTGCTAGAGACACGTTGTTAGGCCTCCATGACAGGCGGATATGACATAATAGTTACACAAGGAAGAACCAGAGAGCACGGTTATCTTAGGGAGGGGTAATATCATAGTTCGATACTGTTACTAAACACGGATTGACTTACTAATCTTTATGACACATATTTAATCATTATTTTACATTTTCTGACTACTTTTATGTAAATCATCTTGAAAAAGGATGCATAACACCAATTCATTAGTTCTATAACTAATTACATTTCCTGACCACTTATATGTAAGTAATATTGAAAAAGGATGCATAACACCAATTCATTAGTTCTATAACTAATTACATTTCCTGACCACTTATATGTAAGTAATATTGAAAAAGGATGCATAACACCAATTCATTAGTTCTATATTTAATTACATTTCCCGACCATTTATATGTAAGTTGTCTTGAAAAAGACGTTTATTTATATATCAAACAATGATTTAAAATTTAATGATTCACTAGTTTGACTTTATGATACCCATACAACTTCTCAACGTAATTTATTTACACATGTTACTTTATAGTTTTATCTTACACGAGTTTTACAAGGGTGGACACTCTACTTCCACACATGATTACATCATCAACGTCTAGATGTACTTATGTTAAAACCAGTATTTTAATGACAATCTTACTGTCCATAGGATTTTAACAAATCTGATGTTATCCATTATCTGAATGAGATCACAATTTACGTTTTTGTTTTCAATTATATATATATATATATCTTTATTGTATGTATTTTACAAAGGTGGATAATGTTAGTAAGGATTGTATACAGATTTCAACGAACATTTAAGTACATATATATTTGACAAAGGTGTTTTTATACTCCCATAGGACAGCATGCAGCATAAAGATGTTCTTGTCATTTCCATCTGTGGTTCATTAATACCATGGAGACATTTCACTCTGACTCATTATGACATGTTCAGACTATATCAAACTTCAAAACACATGAACTGTAAACTTTCTATATACATATAACGAATGTTTCACTAACTTTAATTTTAACATCTAGTTAATAAACTCTGTAGTAAATCATTTTGTTACATCATAAATGTGATTAATCTCTATTATAGAATAACAACACTTACCATTTTTCATAAATCTATGAGAACCGAACTTTCTTGGATATATGTCAACAACAATAATAAGTATAATATATACAATATTGCCCACACACAGACAAATATGGTCCTTACAATATTTTTGTTGTAAGTTTACATTGGACAGTTCTTCTTGATTATTTTCTTATGTTAAGATTATGTGAAGGCAGTCCTAATGGATCAAAATATTCTTCTATCTCATCTCGACTGATGTAAATTCCCAGTGTTTCAGTATGTGTAATACTTTACAAGTCTTTACTTACATATATTGAAGATAGCATATGGTGAAACACGCCAGTTTTTAACTTGCAAGGGAGTGGTGTGTGAAGCTCAAGGTCTAATGTTCAGCATGACTGGGGACAGTCAATTTAATTACGGATTTCAAGTCCATGATATGTTTTGTATAGTTTCTAAAATAAAATATCTTTGTTTACTTTGGAGAATTCTCTTTATGTTTTATTCATGATTATTTATTCTATGAGACTGTAACAAGTATATACCATAGATATTGTTACGTTGAGCTGTATCTCAGTGTCAACATGTTGGATTTATAAAATCTGAAAGACAACATCTTTTGTCGTAAGAAACAACAACTGAAATAATTTGTCAAGAACATTTTTATTATAATCAAAGTTATGTAACATTTTGCTAATTTCTAAAATTTTCAAAGATAGGATACATGCACATTATACTTGATAAATCGTGAATAAAGTTGTCTTTCTCTACAGTAACGCTCGACTCACAATCTGAGGGTCGCGGGTTCGAATCCGCATACCACCA